TTCTTCTTCTTCTGCTCCTATCGCGTTTCTTCCGACCATGGATTCCTTCTACCTGATCGCTGCGTCCTCAGTCGCGACCTCAACAAGTCCTTAAAAGACTTTCTTGAGTACTCGTTGAATGTCTTTGGACTACTAGGCAAACTCCCTGCATACAATTTAGATGTTTAATCTCTCTTCCTTGTTTTTACGAATAAAAAAGTATAATTAAGCTATTCTTCATGCTTGAAGATTTTTTTATTTTTTGTTTATTAATTCCAAGATATATTGAAGTTGTTATCTTTATAGAAATTTTTAAATAGCTTTGAAATCCTTTTTAATAAAAATAAATTTATTTCAGAGCTTAATACTTTGATAACTAATTATTCTAGCTAATATACAATGATAAAATATAATATAAGCGAAATGGAAAATATCGTACAATGCATTACATATCACTGTCGCTTGCTTCATTTGCTTCCTTTTTTTGATTGAATTACCATGGCTGGGAGTGTTATCACATAAAAGACAATGTTTTTCGTTATTGGCATTTGATTTAATACTTAACGTTCGTTTTAAAGAAAAATTAAAGAGAGTTTTGCGTCGACACAGTTGCGCTCGATCGCGCGAAACAGTCCTGGTGTAACGCCCAACGACACGACATGAAGCAACCATCGCCACGACAAAGAGGACTACGGCGATAGCGACATGCTCCTGGTGTTGAAACCGAAGGTTCGAGTGACAGAAAGAATAAGAAGGAGAAAGAGGGAAGGTGTTAGTCATGGAACGAACCGAGTCCTTAAAGCGGCCGCATCTGAGAATAATTGCTCGCTGACAGGCCGTGAAATGAATTTATTTAATTTCAGATAGGTATAACAGAATTACACGGTAGTTGGAAGTGCGATGAAGCCTGGGTGGCGTGGCGAGAATGTACACCGGGTGAGAAAAGGCTTGGTGACGGGACAGACCCGCGTTTGTACTCTAGAGTCGTCCGCGAAACGAATGCAAAAGGTACAAAACTCCAGTGAGTGGGCATAAAGAACGATATTGACACGCGTCCTTCCTCGTAAAAGGAATCAAACGAAAAGAAAGTAATCCGTCTTGCTACTATTAATTTTTCTTGTGTGATATAACATGCCGTGCGTCAAATAAATATTTAAAATCTGTTACATAGAACTCACATGTGTAATTAGTAATTAATTCTACCGAATTTTATCATAGGAGTTTCTTACAATAATCTTCTTTATAATAATGCTTTAATGTCTCTTTCTCTCTCTGTGTGTATATGTGTGTGTGTGTGTGTGTGTGTGTGTGTTTTAAGGTTTGAATTAAAAAAAAAACATTTACAATCTCAATTAGGCGTTTCTTAATAACGATAAATAATTTATTTATAAACGATAAAATACAAATATAAATAAAGAAAAAAAATAGATGGTTAAGAAACGCAAAAAGTACAGACGATTGAGTGATCGAAGCCGGTTAATGAAAATTCATTTTATTTTCGTCGGGCTATATCGAAGAAATACGACGTTGAGCTACTCGCTACCATAAGAGGTTCCTTTATATACAAATTACACCGTCCTATGGTAAAACGCGCGTTTAATACTATCACGGTATATAATACAGTTACATTCTCTCTCTTTCACATATGCATTTATACACTCGCTTCTTTCTATATTCAACACAGCACGCATACACGCGCAATCAACGTTACAACAACAGATACTTATCCGTTCTAATGAGCGTAGAATTACTATTTACAAGTCGAGATCGAAAACCATAATACAAAGATCCGCGTACTCGGCGATCTTCTCTGATACTCGTAAATATCTATGATAAGATATTACGCGAACGCGGGGCGAAGCCCGCAATGCGGTCAAACATGTCCTATCGCTAAGCTGCATTTAGCGGTGAGATATCGAAATTTACAACATCACACTGTGACATCAATACAAATAAATTCGATTCTCGAGCATCCGAATGCTCGGATCTCGTGCATCTCCCAAGTTGTAGATATATCCCAATGTATGAATCGGTTGCTTCTTTCAGAATCACGTTTCTCACATTCAAATCTGTAATTTTTGAGATGCCAGATTCCGCGTATTTCGGATACTTTGAGCAGTCTAGCGTTGTTGATACGAAATTTTTAGCCGCCGCCGACACGTTCGCCCCGCACGTGATATTAATGAAAAAACGACATGTATACATAGAATTACATTTATATATTATAAATATCTACGCGTTACACACATTGTCCGCGATTAACAGCCTGGAAACGCTAGAAATAGTTCTTTGGCTGCCTAGGTGTTACGGGGAAACATGAACGTTAAGAACACCGGACACGTGTAGTTCACAGTCACATGCACAGACGCACTGCGATCTATCGTTCTTCGTTGCTCCCTTATTACATATTATGCGATATAGGACTAAGTGACACCCATTGAGAATGCGAGCAATTGAGAAAAATCATAGACTTGAAGCTAATATTCTTCTTCAGAATGATCTAGCCTAAGAATGTATAAATAATATGCATTCATTTATTATTAACAATTATTAATGATATTATTAACAAACACAACAAAATATAATTACAATAATATAACATAATAATAATAATAATTCTGAAAATTGATTAACAAAAAGAGCACATTTATGCCAAACGTTATTTTATATTAAAATGAATACATATAATTTAACATGTATAATTAATAAGACTCCAAAAGATTAAAAGAAAGAAGAATATTAGCTGAATGATGATAGATCTCGTTACTCTCATCTGCGGCATTGTAAATGTGTGATAACATATGTAATTTCCAATTTAATTAATAAGATTCACATCTTTCAGAAAGAGAAATAATATGTAAGTATTAATTACTTCAAATATATTTAACTAGAAAATTTAATTTTCTAGTTAACTTGAAGAATAATCATAAATATTCAAAGGAACATATAACAATATGTAAAACTCCATTCATATTAATGTATATCTATTGCACAGATTCATCAGTGTTTATTTTTTATTTGTGTATTAAATTTTATATAATGCTAAATCGATTCGAGATTTCGGACGAACGAAAAATTGATCAATCTTTTACTTTTAGTTACTTTCAATTAATCAATACGATTAATCAGTAATCACCGCAATTGTGAATTTTTCCTTTGTTGATTCGAGATCTCGGATCGATTTCTAACATCGTGGACACAAATAATTCATGATCATTTCATCATCATTAAAATCTAATTCCATTTACGTTTTTTCACGGCTATAATAACTTAAAGTGCAACGAGGTGTCACTTACTTCTATATCGTCATCCATGCCATTAACCCGATTCGTCTATGACGATAACACGCGTATACGCGCGCTATTGTATCCTTATGAGATAAAAACATCTCGAGACATCATAGATTCCAGTTCTGATGTTCGTGCCGATTCCACCTGATCACAGACAGAGGGAGAAGGAACGATGCTGCCGCAGTCGCCGAGTCGCCAACGTCAGCGGGGAACGCTAATTGGGGGAGGGCGGGCGTGTCCTCAGCGGCGGGGGTGTGCTGGCCGTCGGTGGATAGGGCACGTACCTCAGGCTGGTTGCGGTGGGGGGCGAGGACCGTCGCGAGATCATCGCGACGGGGGGTGGTGGTTGCCAGGGCCACGGTAGCGTCGTCGGATACGGGAAACCGGGGTGGCTGCGACAGCAGCGGTGGGGTAGGGCGAGGGCGAGCCGGCTGCGCCCCTAGTGCCGTACAAGAGCGCTGTCGACGGCGACAGCCAGGCCGTCAACGCGTGTCCGCCGCTCTCGTGCTGTTGCTGTTGCTGTGCGGACGACTGGTGGTGTTGCTGCTGCTGCTGCTGCTGTTGCTGCTGAGCGCCCAGCGTCGCGGCTGCGGCAGCGGCCACCACGACCGGCGATGACATGGCGAGGTGCTCGTAAAGTCTCACTGGAGGTACGCCACATCTCACTAGTTGCTGTTCCATAAGCTCCATAGGATCTCTGAAATAATAAGGCCGGATGATACAGTTAGCGAGCGAAACAGACGAAAAATGTATTCCAAGCAATAGAGCAGGTTTGTTCCAACCTTCTTCCAAATTGTGCGTATATCACAGAAAAGAATGTTTATTTTACTTTAATTTACTTTAATTAACGACATAATTTTTGTAATGTCTATAATTATTGAATTATATCGCGCCGCTCCGCTCGGAAATTCGAAATATTTTCTCAGTTTTCTATGTATAAATGTATATTATAAATCGCGGTATTTATGAACGTAATATCAAAACGTAATTTTGCAGCGGAAATTAAGTAAGAGAGAAAATCTTAATCGCGAGCGCGTGCGCGCACGTCGTTAATAATATTAATGGAGTAATCGAATAGGCAGCTTGGATAAAAGATTTATTCATAAGATCTGGCACACAAATCGTCTGGGAATCAGCGCTTGCTCGGTACCAGGATTATTAGACGAGGGAACGAACGAACGAGCGGCGGCCGCGCGCAATCGTGCGGCCGAGAGGTCGCGATCCTGCGCGCGGCGAATCGACCGAAACGGCAAAGATCGGCGGCGGGACGAGCAAATAAATCGTGCCTGAAGCCGCGGGAACGCGAGACAGAGCGAGATAAAATCACCCGTCCTTAAGGCGAGAGAGGCGGCTCTCGCCGGCCGGCTGATTAATCGATCGACGTTATCGGCATTAATAGCACTTAAAAGAGAGTAAATCAATGAGATTCCTTCACGGACGCGGAGTCGACAAAGAGACAAGACAGAGGGAGAATGGCGGGTAATTAAGACGAGCTTTTCTCTTACAGAAGAGAAACGTACGTGCGCGAGGAGAGGAGGAGGAGAAACGAGGATCGCGAGAATCTCTTTCTCCCCCAAAGCAACGAGCGTGATGGATGATTTCGTGCGTTAGGCACGGGCTTAATTAGGGTTAATTACGCGCGATTGTGCGCGGACGCGCCTTCGTTGCTTCGTTACTATTGCGGCAGAAACGCTAACGAGCGGATTATTGGCCGATCACGGATGGCCGAACGCGTCGCGAATGGCGAGAGGGGTCACCTCTGCGTTTCCCCCTTGCGTCTCTCCTGCCCTTCTTCCCTCCTCTCTCTCTCTCT